TTTACCCTGACCTCATCCTCTGTCAGCAGGGCCCTGAACCCAGCAGCCCTTTCCCTTGTTTTGGGGGAGATCCTTAATCACAGAAGTCCAGAAGACTCAGTATCCACTGCCTGGTGTTTACATACAGGTGTGGTTCAGTATCACACATTTGAGGATCTTGGCTCTTTTGCATTAAATTTTAATGCATTTTCTGTCTCTCTGAAACACAGAGACGATTTAAATCTCAAATGAAGAGATTTTTCACAGCAGAGTCTATATGTGCAGGGTAAATGATTATGGCGACCTTCCTGGAATGGTTGTCTGAGCCTAGAAACTAAACTTTTGTCTGCCTGCTTGAGGCAGTCATCCCTCCCACCCTCTCTAGACCCTTTAAAGTTCATGGTTCTGCAATAGAGATGATTTATAAGTTTGATGTTGACATTAACTATAAGCAAGTTAAGTAATCACTCCTGAAAACTGGACACAGAGCCATCCTTCAAGAGGCAGCTACAGGATGCCCAATTTAAAGCAATTTCAACTTTCACACTTAAAATATGGAAAACTCTACATTGGGGTTTCCAAGGCCATCAGTTCTATTATAATTGGAGTTACATCTGCTTGTGCTTTCATAATGCTCTTTGCTAGTCTTGGTATTGAATACTAAATTGGTATTTACACAAACAAATCATCTTTAAGTCATAATCACTGCCTCCTCTCCTAACAAAGTCTAAATGCTTCCACTTGACATAAGCAAAGAACCTACATGACATACGGGAACCAGAATGACCCTGGCTATTTCTTTTAAATCCTTCTTTTCAATGATTCCCTGAAGGCATTTTGACTGGCGGGTGGCAGATGAAGTTGGTTTTTAACTTCGTAGTTTCTTCCTCTTGCTAGGCTCTTCAGATGGTCTTTTCTACTTTTAAGCGAGTTCTTCCAGGAGTCCCCATATTCCAGTCTCAAATTAGTGCCTCCAGTGTCCTGCCAGCAGCTGATAGGAATGGGAGGTAGAAATTAGCTGTGCGGTTTAGGTAAAATACCCCCCCCCCACCCCGCCCCCCAAAAATCTGGGCAACCTCATCCTCGCCAGAGGCCAGAGATTCGAGAAGTGTTTGGGGGCTCTGGTGGCTGGACTGGTTCCTCAGTGGTTTTAGGGTTACCACTTCAGAGGGGGAACATGTTAGTGGAGTAGTAATCAAGGCCTATCCTATTCTTCTTGCCCGGCCTGGGTAGAGGCCTAACATTTTAGCTGGACTGGTCAATTTCCCAGCCAAGGGATCAGTCCTAGGAAGCTATGCTAAAGAGATAGGGGGAATGAGTTTTCCTTTAATGAGATACTGTGCTTTTCTTTCCCAGAGTTCTCATCCTCTTATGTAGACCTCATGACTCCAGGGGCTCAGCTGCACTGCCTACCTATGCTTCCTCCACCCCCCACCCCCACTCCCCATCTCTTGAGAAGCTGATCAGGACTCACATTTGTCTTTTGTTCGGTTTTTCTTTGTCTGATACTTCAAGCTGCCTTATTTCTTTCTCTGTAGTACCCTTCTTCCTGGCATGCGGCTGTGTGCAGTCACATGGTGAACCTACATGCTCATAATTCAAATGCTAAGGCTTTTTTCTTTCTCCCTTCTCCTCCTCTGGGCAGCCATTGGGATGCTTTTCATTTGAATTGTAGTAAAATTGTCTTGAGCTTCTGTTTGGGTCTGTTCTTAAATTCTTTCATCAATGAGAGGAGGAACCTCAAGAAGGGACCCCAATTTCCCCAGAATCAGTCACTTATTTATTAATGTGAATAAAGTGAAATCCAAAGGCTGTCAGCCAGACATACTTTTCTGGTCATGTAGTAGGTCACATTTATGGTGTGACTGAGCAGCTGAGGGGAAGTGCATTGGGAGCCGGGGACTTCTGCATCGAGTCTCATAACTAGCTTTATTTTCCTTTATTTTCTCTGTTCTAAGTCACGAAGAGAAACTGGTTGCCAGGACTCATTTTCTAGCTCTAAGAATATCAAAGCTATTTTGTTTGCTGTAGTAATATCTCTGTGCATGTACTGCTTATGTAGGCAAAGGCACATTTTAATGTTGGTTGACGGACCCGATCCCTGGGAGGTTCTCATTATCACTTGTGTACAGCTGAAGAAACAAGGGCATTAAAAAGTTAAATGAGTTGCCTAAGGCCCCACAGGGCAGCTGCTAGGTGGGAGAGCCAGTTCAAACCTGGCAGGCTGTGCTGCTCCTAAACACGAGAAGATGAGAAGGAAATCACTTGAAGAAATGTGCTCTACTTACTTCTTTCTTTACATAGCGTGTTGATGAACCTTATGTACAAGAAGGGTATAGATTTTCCCAGGCTAGTTCTTCAGAGAACTATGCAAGATTATTTGAACCTGGTGCCTCTCTGGATTCCATCAAATCATTTGACCACTTTTCTTCACATCTCCTTAAAGAGAGGTGTTTATAAGCTTGAAGTCTCATGTCTCTCCTACTTTTCCTGAAACTGACAGGAAGTCAACCTGTACAGTGCCAGACAGGATCTTTTCTGTTATGTCTGTTTGAATGTGAGTTGATTAGGAAATAGAAGTGAGAGGCAAGGATTTGCAGGTGTGGCTCCAGGTAACTGTAATAAATCCCAAGAGGTATTATAGTGCCAATATAAGAACACAGCTTTGCCACAAAAGGCATAAGACATACCTTATTCAATAGTCAAATGTTCTACCCCTGAGCTGTATCCCCATGGTTTTTTATTTTTTATTTTTGTGTGTGTCTGTGTATGTGTGTGTGTGTGTGTGTGTGTGTGTGTGTGTGTGTGTGTGTGTGTGAATTTTTTGTCTTTGGTATTTTTTGTCTTATTGATTTTCTTCTTGTTTGTTTGTTTTGATTTTTTGTTTATTTATTTTGCTTTTCCTAATATTTATTTTGGGAGAGAGAAAGAATATGAAGTTGGATGGGTAGGGAGGTGGGAGGATCTGGGAGAACTGGGGGAGAGGAAACAATATGATCAAAATATATTATTAAAAAGGTTAAATTAAAGTTAAAAAAGAGAAATAGTTTATTCTGGAGCCAAAACATATGTGTCCATATCCTGGAAACATAGATTTAGGCCACCTTATATTCCATGTTGCAACACCGTGACAGTTGGAGGACATTTTTATAGAAACCACGCAACAAATGACATCAATCAAGGTACTTTTCACATACCTTGATTGGGTATTTGAATGGGCAGGTTTTAAAGCAGAGCAGGGAAGCTCTGGGAAAGGCTATCTGGACATTATCCATTGATACTCTTAGCTTTTGGGTTGGTGGAAGCTAGTGTCTGCTAAGTTCATCCGTTTCAAAAGTTTTGATATTCTATGCCAGGCGGTGGTGGTGCACACCTTTAATCCCAGCACACGGAAGGCAGAGGCAGGCAGATCTTTCAGTTCGAGGTCAGCCTGCTCTACAGAGTGTGTTCCAGGAAAGCCAGGGCTGTGACGTAGAGAAACCTTGTTTTGAAGAAAGTTTTGGTGTTCTAGTAGATTCATCTATTTTGTAGAAGGGCCAGTAAAAGCTGCAGGATATTTCTGGAAACTTTTGTTTGTAACGTTCTGCCCCAGATGAGACACTCTAATAGCACAGTGTCCGGAGAACTTTGAGTTCTTTTTAAAATGACACAATGGAATCACTGTACATTTAGAAACTATATGTTTTGGAGACTATTGGTCAAGTTGTCTTGCCTTGAACAAATATGTCATTTGAAATGTTTTGTGGTTGCTGTGTCATCCTTGATAGTTCATATTTGGAATTGCAGGTGCAGTCCTCTGTGAGTGCTGTCTTTAGAGATGCCATCATGGAGTCCTTTGTGTCCAACTTTCCAGGAGAAAACAATATTGAACCAGCTGGTCCCTCTCTGCCAGGCAGCCTCATGGATGTCAGGCATTTGCAAAGGCACTTCACTTTGGTTTTCTGTTAACTGAGCATCACAATAAGCATTAGGAACAAGTTCTGGTGTGGGAAAGCCTTTCTGGGCGGGTAGTTCATTTTGGGGACCCCTGCTGAGATGTTCATTAAGAATGGTCAACTATACAGAGACTTTATTAAGTTTTTGTTTGTTTGTTTGTCTTCCTGTTCATTTTCTAAAGAGAGAGAGAGGAAGAAAGGCCTTGAAGTTGAGTGGGTGGGGAGGTGGGGAGGATCTGGGAGGAGTTGGGGAAGGGGACACATGATCAGAATATACTGTATGAAAAACATTTTTTCAATAAAAATTTAAAAAAATCTTAAAATAAAAAAGACATATTTTAAAATAAAAGAGACAGCTAGTGAGGAAGTGGGAACCACCTCTGCTTCTTATAGCATCAAGATAAAAAACCCTCTAGGTCAAAAATAACAAAACAAGCCAACCAATCCCCACAAACAACGGTGAAGAGAAAACTTGGTCAAGCCGTCTAGGCTTGCACCAACTGCTGCTTAGGAAATGTCAGCCCCTGGAAGCTGTCTCCACCCTCAGGCCCTTAGGCCTCCTCACAGTCCCTTGTCCACAGCAGGTTTGCTGTTGGAGCTCTGTTTGATCTCCTGCTACTAACCAACACCTGTGGTTAATTTTGATTGTCCTGCTGGTCGAGGTACTTCCACTCAGCTGTGGCTGTCACATGCTTGTCAGAAGTAGGAAAAAACCACAGCTTTTAGTGGTTGTTTTCATTGTGGATTCAGAGATCTGAGACTTTTTAGATGAATAACTCAGAAAGAACAGTCAAAGTTTTGGGAGATGAGTAAATGTAGCAATTTAGATGTTTATGACAATTGTAAATCTTCTCTGTATGGTACTTTGAAAACATTTTTAGATTTTCCCATTGGTCCCTAGTACTTGGAAATGATTGATTTTAGATGATTAAACATAACTTCTCCAACTTATTTATTTAGTGAGTGGCATCTGAAATCATATTTTTCAAGTTTAAAGAAAGGAAGCAAATTTACATTTTGAAGTAATTTGTCATTAACTAAGACAATAATCTGCTTGGGTGTCATCTTTTATTCCCCTCCCTACAGATCGAATTGGAAGTTTCTGATCAGAAGTTTATGCATCATTTTCTTCTTAAGGCAGAAGTTACAGAAGACAAGCAAGCTTGCATTCGGAGTATTTCCAGGTGACTACAGGGTATGAAATGGCGAGTGAGCCCATGGTCTCTTGATGGGCATTCTTCAACTTTAGCGTGTATCAGAGGCTCTTGTACCCTAAAATACAATTTTTAAGTTTCACCTCGGGAGAGTCTGACTCAGTAGATTTGGGGTTGGCTTTGAAAATCTACATTTTGGTTTACATTTTTATAATCTACATTTTCTTCCAGCAGCTGGGGTACGTGTTTTAGAACCATGGGTGAAGTACTCAGCGAGGACCAGCATGTTTCTGTCATGCTGTAGAGTTGCTGAGGTTGGGAAGAGTCTGGTCATTGTAAACTACCTAATACTGAAAATAAGAGAAAAGATGTCCCTCAAAGTCTGAAGTTCTAAACTACACACTTTTGACTGAGTCCCTCAGAAGCAAAGTCTCTGATGGGTACTTGAGTGTAACCCCAGGTTTTTGGTATAGTCTCAAGAAGAACAGAGTAAGGATATAGGACCAGGGTAAGGTAAGGAGGTAAGCAAATGTGTGGTCTCAGGTGAAGGCCAGCTTTGGCCCATCCAACCTGGGCACTGGGACATGTGTTACACTGTATAGTTGGTCTTACCCTGACGGAATGAGATCAGTCTTTTGTAGTTCATTCACATCAGTGTGTCACTGATTTTGAGCTGCACTGGGGTGGATACGCATCATAACAGCCTATTAATAAAGTGACTCTGTTGCCACTTGAGGCATTTCTCATGAAAGACTTCCTCTAGAGGCACTGGTAAGCCATGCCTCATGAAAGCTGAGTGATTGGTGTATAGCCAAGCACAGAGAAAGCAGGAGGGGCCCATCAGCGTCCAGCATGCTTTGACAACACAGTTACACTGGAGTCTTCTCACAGATGACTCCAAGTTTTGGTCACTGTGGCCACTCTTGCTGTAACATTTTATGTAATAAGCTTGCTGATTTTGTGATTCCTTTTATAATTATGAGGGAAAACATGGACAATATAGACACTTGCCTTTTACTAGAATTTGTTATCCTACTGCAACGCATATAAAACATGACAGTCTCCTCTGGCAATTCTGATAGCCATCATCAAGAAGAGGAACATGATTTCAAATATTGAATTATGGATTCCCAGGCTGCTGTAAAATCATAATCATTTGCAGATGATTCTGTTTCATGCTTCTTGTAATGATATTGTTTATTGGAAGGAGGTTCCCCTGCTTGGAACTTTGAATGAGAAATGTGCTGTTCTGGAAACTACTGAACCTGTTGTCATTGGTTACTTGGCTACATGAAATAAAACAACTTCTTCTAAATTGCATTTTTGCAGAACATGAGTGTGTTTGTACTGTATTCTGCATAAAGCAAATTATATGCTGACACCCTCTTAGAGAATTACAAAGTATTTTAAATTATTAAAGGCTCTAAATATTCTTCAAGTAAGAAGACTGCTAACTTTTGTTTTTAACTATTTCCCAGCATCCATTTGCTCATGGAAGAACTGCCTGTGATGGTTCCTGTCCTTCTTACTTTTTCAGAATACATGGATCATCATACAAACCTAATGTTCCATAGACCATAGTTGAGGAATATGGAAATAAGGCTTGATTCCTCACAGCATATTAGCCATGCACCAGCCAGAAGCTTTGTAAACACTGGTAAGCTTTGGAAAACCAACTCCAACATCTTCCTACCAGTGCCAGGCAACCATAAGGCAGCAAAGGGAACCAAAGTAGCTTCTGGGGATAATGGTAGATTTTCATGTTGTTTTTTTTTTCTATACTGAAGGGGCCATAAGAGCAGTAATATATTTAATGAAGGCTTGCAGTGGATAGATCAGGCTCCATAAAACATTTTATTCACACTAACTGATAATGACTTACTGGGCAAGAAGTTTTGAAATCATCTAGTTCCTAGCTTCAAATGTTTATTAAATGTCTGGGTTTTTTATTTTATTTTTATTTTTTTTGTGGAGTGACTTCTCCAAGGGGAATCATGCAATATTAAAAAGACAGAGTATTAAAAAATCGGCCAAGAAACACTAGTACTGCTCTGGTGCTAAGAACTGTGGTCCAGTGCCTCTGAATTCACGTGGATCCCCATGTTCTCCGTGGAAGGTACCCTCCCAGCATCATTTTATTAGAAATGTTTGAATTGCCGTAGGTATGTGGCATTCACTTCTTTGCAAGAAAGACCTTCTGTGAGCTGCAGTCTAAGGGATTTTGAATTATAGCAGTGAGTGAATATTTATTTGGAAGAAAAGCGGCAAATACATTTTGTACAGCACTGTGCAGTTCTATAGGAAGCCCCCCTCCCCTACCAGCCATTATCTTTGTACTCACAGAAATCCTAAGACTGTTAGAATTGGAAATGGAAGGAGCCAAGGATCCATGAAAGACTGTCCAGTGCAGCCCTGAAAGCCAGAAGCTTCACTGCCATTTATTTCTCTTTCTCTCCCTTCCACACTCCCTCCTCCTCCTCCTCCTCCTCCTCCTCCTTCTCTCTCTCTCTCTCTCTCTCTCTCTCTCTCTCTCTCTCTCTCTCTCTCAGGCATGTTTATGTTCATCTGTGTACACATGCATGGAGGCTAGAAGCTGACATCATTTTTCCTTCCTCTTTCACTCCCCACCTTAGTTTTTGACACTGGATCTCTACAGGTGTGGAGCTCACTGATTGGCTAGACAAGCTGTCCAGCAAACCCCAGGGTCCTCTTGACTCTGCCTCCTCAGTGCTGGGATCAGAGGTATGTGCCAACATATCCCCAGCTCTCTATGTGGGGGCCCAACATTCCGATTGACATTCTCATGCATTCTTCTCACCGAGCCCTCTCCCTACTTCTTCGCCTTGTCCTTGATCGTAAGTGACAGGCTTTCATGAGTTTGTTTCTTGGTACTGTAAAAAAATTCTAGAAGGAAACCATAAGAGATTTCCTCCCCTGATCCTAATCCCTTCTTGATTGTTTATACTCAGCTAGCTCAGTCAGAATTCAGTTGCAGGCCTTCCAGCTCTTGACCCACTACTAAGTAATAGTCATTCTTGACCGGCAGGAGGGTGCTGAGACTTTGTGTTCTGTGGGTGTGGATGCTACTGTGAGGTGAAGAAGTTAGAGGTCACATTTGATTCCTTGTGGCAGAATATGGAGTTTTTTCTATTAAGAAGCCAAAGGAATCTAGGTGCTGGAGGGCCCTGGACAGGGAAAAAAGATTATGGCACCACAAGAGCCGCCGAGGGGGCAGTCCCAGTGACCAGCAGACGGATGGTAAAGGGATGGGAGACCGATCTGTTCCAGGTTGCTGAGAAGATACTTCCGCTGGCTCAGACTCCCGAGGTCTGATTGGTCTAGGTGGAAAAGCGTGTTTTAGATTTGGTGCCGGTGGCGGGTGCCATTCCCCCCTTGCTTGTGATGACACTGCTCCCTTGGAAGTGTTTTCCTGCTCTTATCTCTAGAGGTTACTGATGCTGTAATCACAGCAGTGAAAAGGGGATTGGCTTGGCAGAGCAGGATGGAATAGGGTCAAAGAGATGGAAGTCAATTTAGAACGTGCTGAGTTTGAAGTGAGAGATGTAGGGAGTAGCGTGACATATCACTCTGAATTTCAGAGAAACTGCACAGAAGCTGAGAGCTAGCTGTGTAACTAAATAGAGCCTAACGACTTGGGGTGGACAGGAGGACCCAGGGAGACTGTGAGGTTAGACTGGGCTCAGTGTCCACCACTCACGGGCTCTTACCGTGAATAAGGCAGCCTGATTTCTTATCCAAGGCCCTGTTTTTATAGTCTGAGAGTAATGGAATTTCATCTGTTAGACTTTACTTCCTGTGGGCAGTGAGATGACCTTCGGGCACAATCCAGCCCTTGGTGATTTGTGTCTGTAGTTACAGTGGAGGCTGCATCCTCCGGTCCTTTCCCCTCTCAGCCTCGTAATGAGATGCTGACTGTGGCTTTGTCTGCCTAGTGTAAGCCCCACCCAGCTCTTTTCCTTGGGGTTTTCTGTGGACTTTAAAGACCATAAGAAAACATGAGGCCATTGATTTTCCCTTCCCTCCTCCTCTAGCTCAGGGTCTTCCTAGCTGGAAGGAATCGGGAGGGCATGAAGCAGAGTCTGTGCTGTATTTTTTCTCATATTGTCCTCCATTACTCCCTCAATACGCTAGTGAGGGCTTGACCAGGTTTTTCAGGGTGAGTGGAGAGGTCACGTGGCCTAACCAGCTGTTTCTGGTTTGGGATCCTGATCCATGTCTTCATTAGGTCCTGGAGTATCAAGGCCACTACTAGCTTGAAGTAAGGGAAGGAGAAACACATAATGAGAAAAACAATCTCTCAAAATACAATCTAACTAGTGTTAAAGCAAGAAGAGAAAATAAGCAGGCCTGTGGGTTCCAGAGCGTGGAGCCAAGGCCAAACGGAGAGCTGGTTCCCAGGAAGCCAGGGTGTCCCCAGAGGAGGCACGTGTGACACTTAGAAGCTCCCAGGCCAGCAGTGAGGCAACAAGATGGCAGGTTGAGCATTGGGGAGGAGGGCGGGCAGGTTCAGAGCCACTGTTCTCCATCTCTGTAGTCTGTGGTGAGGAGAAGCCCTGTCCCCAGGGTCCTGTGGAGCCGCCTCTGCTTTGCTCAAGGTCTTGTGCTGCCCCCACTGTTTTCCTGAGCAGGTTACCCAGGTCTGTTCCTCTGGGTACAAGTTCCCCGGGCAGAGCAACACAATTTATATTCATAAGTCTTCAGCGCCTAGCACACTATCTGACACATAGCAGATTCTAATTTAAATTTAACAAATGACTGAAAGTCAAGCTTTCTAAAAGAATTGTCAGGTTGGCCAGAAATAGGGCTGGAATTATGTAGAATCTCTGGAAACATTTCTCTCCCTGCTATGCTGGATGGAGCCAAGAGTGCTGGGGTAGTGCTCCTCTTCTTGGTCACTCTGTTTCCTTGTTTTTGGTGATACGAGTGGCAAAGTGAAAAACAGGACTTGGGCATCTGTAGCCTTCCCAAACATAGACATCAGAATCCCAACACATCTTCAATGTATTTTAAACTCGTGGATGTACGTCAGAAGCAACTCACAGATCCACACATTTTCTGCTAAAGGCACTTTACTCTGCGACAGAATAGCAAGCAAAGAGAACATATACAAACAGTGTTTTGTGTTTGAATACTTACAGTCTAGCAGTTGTTAGGAGAAAAATAAAAGAACAAGTGTTTAAAAACAAAAGTGATTTGGGACACAGGCTTCTACTTATCTAAAACCATGGATGACACAGAATTCCCAACATAATCTGTTTAAAAGGTGTTTCCATGAACCCTGTAAAGTAGAAAGCCTTTCTTGTAAAAAAAAAAAAGTATGCAAAAGAAAAAAGAAAGAAAGAAAGAGAGAAAAGATAAAAAAGAACTTTCAAAATACAAAAATAATAAAAATTAGGGTGGGGCCTAGGAAATGCTGATAGTTTATTTCCCAGTAAGAATAAAGGTTTGGGGAGGTAAGATTTGCTGAAGCATTAGGATTCACCGTATCCATTTATGAAGAAGTGTATGATTTTTGCCAAGGAATTACACACAGCAGACTGAGTCCGTTTTTAGCTTCTAAATCAAAGCTGGAGAGCTACACAGTTTGGAAGCATCTCAGCTGTGTTTGAAATTGCTAAGGGGCCCTTAGGTGAAAAGTGGTCTGTAAACCTAAATAAATATTCTTGTTATTTCATTACTGTACTGAGTTACATTGTCAGGAGCATGGAGTCCTCTGGAACAAGAGTAGGAACAGAAGGGAAATGCATGGTAACCTAAAGATTAAATTTCACAGCTGTAAACACCCAAAAGAACTTCTGGCAGAGAACTGTCAGCTGTAAATTTACAGCCTACACAGGCAGCCACGCTTTGTTGGAAGAAAAAAAAATGCTCTTGAAAAATATGTTTTTCTAAAGTTTGATTTCGAAGAGAAATCAGATTTATATATTTTTAGTAAGCATGGGGGTAGTGAAGGGGTTGGAATGGAACGAATATCAGAAGCACTTTGGAGGTCCTGGAGAGTTTCCTTTGCTTTGTTTTCCCTCATGTCCATTTCTGCTTCCTTATATAATTAACCATCTGGGGTGGAATAGCTGGTAAAATCCTATTTACCGAGTGCTAACTGGATCCTTGGGCTAGTGTTGGTGTTTGGGGGACCATAGAACAGACAAATGTTGAAGGCTTGGCCCTTGCCATTTTGTAATGTCTAGGCAAGGGGAAAAGACCAGCCAAAAGAAAAACAACAGGGGACTGTCCTTAAAAGGCGCCACCATTAGAGGTTAGAACAAGTGGTTCTGTGTGGGTTGCAGCCAGCAGCAC